TATAAAGGATATATATAATCCTTTAATCCAAAATATGAAAATGTATTTTGTGTCCTACATAATTTCAGATATTTTATCAAAACAATTGTTCTTTTCAAAGTGAAACACTTCTTTATAATTAAATGAGCCCCTATTTCAAAAGAATACAATAGTCACGACAATTAAGAAACATTTTACTGTTGTTAAAAACTTACTTATTCATTATTTTGAAAATTCACATTACTAAGAACAATTTCATTTATACAAGTTTGTAATTGTAGACTTTATACTGTGATCTTGCTTATAGATACAAGCATCTGAATTATTTTGTTTTCCAGTATAAATATACCTGAGTATTTAATACTGAAATATATACTACTTCCTTTTATTTGCACATAGTTTATATAAGACATTATATTGATATGTGGGATTATGCATATAGAAGGGTTATAATTTCTACAAACTTAACATTTTTGGGAAAATAAAGGACATTACACAATGCTCTTTATAAAAATAGCTTGTAAGTTTTGTAGCCTTTTTCTATGAGAAAATCAAATAACTCAAGAAGAGATGACTTGTAAGTACTAACATTAAGTCTCTCCAGTGAAAACACTGGGACACTCCTATAATAAAGTACACTGGCCAATGAAGCCTAAATATTAAACAAACAAACAAAAAAAAAACCCCAAAACCACTTCCAATTAGTTTGCACTCTTTTGTTCTTAAATATGAAAAAAGACTAACAAATATTGTAGAAAACCTATACCATAAAAACACACAAGTAGACCCACCCCATGAAAGCAAGCAGGCCATGCAGGAAGGTGCCCCAACACCACACAAGGAAGCAGACCTTCAGATGTGAGCCCCCCCCCAAAAAAAACAAAGGGTAAGACCACGCACCAACTCCAAGCTGGCTCCATATTTTGCTTCCCCTTGGCACAGGGCAGCAGAGGTGAGGACAATACTCCAGAGAGAAGGGAAAATCAGACCCCATGTTGACATTAAGTCCACTCGAACCCTATCCTCATGGCTTACATCCAGATGGTGCCCATCTATGAATGGGAGCTAGCACACTCTTGGTTTGGATGGTTACTAGTCTGGGATGAACATACAAATAAGCCTCTGGTACAGGGAGTTCACCTCAAAAACCCACAGGCACTAAAGGCAAGCAGAGAAAAGCATGATTGGCTAGATCTCAAGACTGCAGATCTTAGAAAGAAATTACTTTTTCAAAAAATAGGGAAGTAAAAAAATGGTGGAGTAGTGAGTTGCAACAACTTAGACTTTCCAAGATTTGGTATCCTGGGCTGGGAATTTAGCTCAGTGGTTCCTCTGCCTGCCTCACAAGTGCAAGGACCCAAGTTCGATCCCCCCTTTGCCCCTACCAAAAAAAAAAAAAAAAAAAAAGTTCTCAAGATTTGGTATCCAGATGACTCTGGATAACTTGGAGAAGAAATTGATCAGTAGTTTCCCAGAAGCCAGGAGGCGAATGACAAAATAAATAAATAATGTTAAAAAATATGGAAGAAACAGAACACATCAGAGAGAAGGGAAGGGACCCTTTGCACATTCTTAGCAGGCTGAGTGGATACAAGTGGCTTACCATGGCTG